AAACAGTTCAGCTTGAGAAATCTACGAACGTGAGCGAGAAAAGAGCGCGTAATTAATATCGAGGGGGAAGGGTAGGAGTGCCACGATCAGCGACTGGTCGAAGAAAGGGATGAGATCGGAACACCTGTCGGGGCCCCTCGAGCGGAAAAACCTAGTGGAAAAATGAGAAAAAAAAAAAAAAAAAAAAAAAAAAAAAAAAAAAAAAAAAAAAANAAAAAAAAAAAAAAAAAAAAAACAAGGCGAATGAAATTCATTTTACTTCGGATGACTTGAAGAATGTGTAAGTTTCGAGAACGACTTGTTCGGAATCCTTGTCCCTGTACTCCTTCGCCTTATTTAAGGCCCGATTGTTTTCGCCTCGCGTTCCAGCGTATGTGCAAGTAAATCCTCAATGAATCTCCGCACGAGTGTCGGAAATAGCGATACGACGCATGCCACAAGTACGCAAAGGCCGAAGGTTCCTTAATGATGTCATTGAAGAGAAGAAGAAGGAGAAAAAAGACGGACTCTCAGAAGGAGCCGACACACGTGCGCAACAACAGTTTTGCGTCTCTCTCGAATAGGAAATATTTATGCGCCGAAAGAGCGTATTTTTTTTTTTTCTTTCTTTCAGATTAGACATACGCAGCTACAGCCATGACTTCCGGTCTGAAGACCAAATGGGACTCTTTTTTCTTTCGTTGTAGATGAACGAGCACTTGTGTGCGCAGAAATAAAAGACCCGTTGGTCTCCTTGCGATCACTAACAAATCAAAGTACTCATACCGATTTTTACAACAAAAAAAAACAAAAAAAAAAGTAAAATCACGGATTAAGGAAGAAAAAAAAAAAAAAAACACAATACCACCCAACAGCAATTAAACACCACGAATAAGCGACCACCAGCGAGTCAAGAGCAAAACAAGAACACGTAGAGCGCGGCAAAAAGAGCAATCCCAAGGGGAGAGCTAGAAGGGAAGCCGGCTTTGGAGCATTGCACGTATACACATGCAACGAATACCGGTGCGTAGAATAAAAGTAGATGTACTTACGCGCATTAGGGAAGGAGATCGAGTTGGCCGTCAACTTGACTTGGCCGACGGCCTCGAGGAGCAGAGTGTATAGATACATATACCACGGGGAACAGCTATACAACAGCGACGCTGACCTCGTTGTACCTACATGTACTGCATGTCTACCCTGATGTACCCACTTTACTAGAGTATGATGTCGAGACAACATCGGTACCACCACTGCAGTGTATACACGCAGACAAATGCCCCAATCGTCCAGTTGGCTCCAAAAGTGGAAAACTTAAAGTTTATTTACATACAACCCCCGCAAACGAGGGAAACATTTTCCAACGGACGTTTCATTGCTTGTCGCAAAATCGCATTAGCATCAAGTAAGAAAATCGCGATGGCCGCAGTAGCCGTGTAAAATTAGATGGAAAAAATATAGCTAAAATACGAAGGATGCAGAACTCGGAGCGCGAGAGCGAAACCGGACTTTCTCACTTTCACAATGGACGATTTCGATTTTTCCGTTGCACCACATACAGATATACGCTTCGTGTACCTACACACACACACACACACACACACACACACACACACACACACACACACGCGGTACTTATGGGCTCTCAAATAAGAATGTGTTTTGGACGCTCCGAGAGAGCACACGGGGGGAAGGTGGGCACCCAAGAGACCCCCGTCATGCCCCGAACAAAAGCTCGGGGCACATATCGCACGGCACAGGTTGTACTATTATTTATACGCATACAATAACTTCCGTTCCATCTCTCCCCGCGTGTACCGAATAAATCGGGCATTGGGAGCGCTAGGGCTAAGAGCAGGAGGAGAAAGGACCCCGTCGATTCTAGTTAATTAACGAAAACAATGGGGGGCGAGGGACCGTATATATTATGTATAAGACTGTAGGAAGAGAAGAGGGCGACGTCTCGTCTTCTCTGCTGCCTCTGGCATTGTACCTGTGGCACACAGTAGGTAAGAAAAAAGGGGGCTTTCAAAACGACTAGGCCGGCTTTTTTTTTCTCCTCGGAGACGCGAGGGAGGATAGAAATGGTGGTGCGCTGTGCCGGGGAATGGATAGGTGGGACGGGCGAGAGGACAGAAGAGAGAGGGAATAAAGGCTCTCGGGCGGTGAAGGCGGGAGAAAAAGAGAGATCAAGATTATCCGGAGACAGAGAGAGAGAGAGAGGGCCGCCATTATCCTAGCACTTTTTCAGCTCTGGAGCTACCTTTCTGTGTGTGCTATATGTGTACTGCGCGCAGCCAACTTGTTTTTGTAATCTTTGAAGATTGCGCGTCTTGAATTTATGAACTGCTACCGCTCCATCCAAAAGTATCCCGATCACCAATGGAAAATAAAAGCGACTGAAACAATGACTGACCGCATGGCGGGTACGCAGGACCGCAATGTCAAAGTGGGATGACACTTATTTTGGATGTATAGCGTGTACCCATCAGGTGAGAAGAAATTGGAGCGGCTCGAAGAGATTTCGTTCTGAAATACGTCCACCTTTCTTTCTCTCTCTGTTTCTTTTTCTCGACACGAGTGGGACGAAAGCGGACGAGTAACCTTGAGCCCAAAGAGAGAAAAAAAAAAAATACAACACATATGAGCAAGGAGGGCAGAGCAACGGCAGCAGCGGTCGTTACATCACCAGACGCGCACACGGATACATCAGATGTGTGTATTGTCGAGCTGGCAAGGACAGCGTTGCCAGTGCCGCGTAAATCATCTTCGCGTGGAAAAGGGGACGAGGGCTAAGGGCTCTTGGCGTTTTTCAATACCTATATACTAATACTGTTGATGACGATCCGTCTTTCATTGATAATTCATGCCTTTCTTAGTGAGACGCAGGTTTAGGCGCCGGAGAGAAACGGGTACAAAAAGGGAAGAGTGCACGTATACAGAGGGAAGGACCGTTTTCTCTGGCGCGCTGGTGCCTTAGGGAACCTTGAAAAATCGGAGGCGACGATCTGGGCCGCCTGTTAAGGCTTTTTGAGCCATTCTCGCCACTTTTGCCTATTCTCGTTTCTCTTTTTATTCGAAGCTGTAGTTTTTGGCTTCTCACTGCTTGTGATTACTTTTTTTTTTTTGTTGAGCCTTCACTTGTTTTGTTGGATTTCATTTTTCCAAAATAGCTTCGTAATTTTCTCGATTTCTTACATATCGTTTTTCTTACTTTAAACATTCTCGATTACTTAAGACTATGAAAATTCCTAAATACTCACAGAGGCTACTTATATTACATTGCAGTTAGTTTATTTTTAATTCATGTATAGATTTTGTGGAGTTAAACTGTATGCTTGAGACAATATACACAACAAAAGTAAATGAACTGGATAGAATTCAAGAGGCAACTTAAGTGCTAACGATCATATTCACAGTATTTTACTCAGCAATCGTCTTATCATCTCATGGCACACATATAAAAACAAAAAGTTTTTTGCTTGACGAAAAATAAACGACCTCAAGATATTCGCAGATATATAGTTAAGTTATAAATAGACATTAATAAGTTGAAGTTAATTCAGATTTAGCACTACTTTTGTTCTGCTGTCCTACCAAAACCTTTTTACTTAAAAGGAGACTTTTTTAAACAAAACTTAAAAATTTTAAATCATTGATATTTTAATAGAAATTGGAAATTTTTCCATTTGAAACAGTACAGCTACGAATTATGAGCAGTTTAAAACCCGTGATAAAGAATAGTTTTCATGCATTTAAGAGTATTAATCTATTATTGTTCAATGAAATGACTTAGTTGACAGATTATCATTGAAGGATGAAAAATAATAATTTGTATGACTTACCAGAGAAGCCATTTTTTCTTCTGAAACGTAAATCCCAAGGATGTCGTTTTCGTCCTCGCTAGACATAAATTAAGAAAAACACACCAATTATCTTCCTACATCTTGTAAAGTTTCTAAAAAGGATACTTCCAAGCACTAGATTTTGGTCTGTTGACAATACTTTTTTTCTGCTCAGACCGCTTCTCAAGCGACTCATTGTGATCTTTGAGCTTAGTCTTAGAGGTAATACTGCGTTTCATTTCCTCCAGTCCTTTTACCGTGGGCTCAAGGTTTCCATCTAAATGGCCGATGCCATAGGCAACCCACATGTCGATAAACTCGTCTTCGTCTTTGTCGAAAAAGTGACATAGTTCCACACCTAAATTAAACGAAACAATCTAATCAATACCATTTAAATGACAATTTATTCAAATAGTAGGTGTAAATCGCCTTGCAACAATAGGTTAAATGTTTGCACTGTCACTTGATTGGGGTTAGGATTGCATGTCTTTTAATTACGCTTTTCAGTTCAGTTATAAAAAAAACCACTGACTACAATAAACTTTCGCACCCTATGTAATCATGGCTAAGTACTTTTTTCACAAAAACAAAAAACATCGTAAGACTTCACCAACAATGGTGCTTTTGACATTTTTGCAGCAATATCTTACATCAAAGACACTTGAGAGTAGAATTTAGAAAAGAGGCTGTAATGATAAACTTACATTTTTGCAGAATCTCATCGCTCAAATTTTCGCAACCAGTGATCTGGAACTTCTCCAACAAGTCCTCCTTCGTCACCATGATGCTGAAGTAAAAAAACAGCTAAAGATACCGAACGCAAAAGTGGCGATGCGGCGGCGGCAAGCCCGATTTACCGCCAAAATTCACAATGGCAACACACACAGACACACTTAACAAAAGCACGTTTTGCCCGCGCGCTCCCCTCTCTACTTTGCGCGCGCAGACAGGACAGATGGGTGGCGGGATTTGTAAATCAAAACCATTTTTATTTTTCAAGTGCAACAAATAAGCTTGATGAATAACATAACTTTAAATATAAAATACATGACACCTTGAGCACCACTTAATAAGTGAATCAGAGTCACCAGTTTTTGCCGTTAAGAGAAATTGTTATATTTATTGTTATCAAAGGTAAATAAATTTGGAAGAAATTATTTGTAAAACTGTCTGTTACGGTTTTATTCAACATTAATGATGATGTTATGTATGTAAAATAATAATGTGTAATTACAAAATTTAAATACACTGTATAAAAACTGAATTATCAAACTTTTTCGGTCATCAACGCGAGTTTTGTATAAAATACTTTTAAATGCTGTAATGCTTTTATCGATTGTTTTGAGTTAAAACTCAGTTCGTAAGCTCCTCGGGGTAGAAGAATTTTTGATCCTTTTCCCACAGTTTGACAAGATTTTCAGATGAGTTTGGCGACGGGAATCTATCAACCACCGACTGAATGAGTCCCTCAAATGTCTCTTCGTAACTCTTTAGTACAACAGATCCAGATTCTGCAAAAAATATTTTAAATTATTCTCATTGCTTTTTAAAATTTTGAATTAGTTTTTTTATCTTTTTTGGTGATACTTACGATCAACAGTGGTGTTTGTCTGCACAAATATTCTTCTTGGTTTTTTGTGAGCTAGAATAATATCCCTCCATTTGGCCCATGGATGAGGACCATCTTCAGGCACTTCACTGTACTTGTCATACATTTCTTTAGCAGCCTGGAAATCTGCAGTACTCTTGTAGAATTGCAACTTCTTCAAAAAGTCTCCAATAGCCTTTTTACCAACAGTGTTAATTTTACTTTTGTCCACTGTCAATCTCAAATTTTTGCCAGGTTCAGTCTCAACAATATTAACAAAATCTTCTCCAGCTTCTAAACAAACTCTCAGTATAACATAACGAGCTTGCGAGTGGGATTGCAACCACTTTTTGGTGGAGGGTTCATACATTTCTAAAGCCTTAGCACATCCCATCCAAAACATTGTCAGCCAATTGACGTAAATAACTTTTTCCGCCTCTGGACCTTCGTAACCAAAGATTTTAGTTACATCTTTTTCTAAGGATAAGTAAAGGCCGACAGATTCAGCTCTACACTCTTCATATGAAGATCCCAATGCTCCAAACACTGAATCATAGGTTTCTCCATCCTTGTAGTATTTGGTGATTGGCTGATTGTCAATAGGGCTCCTAACTTTCTCGATATCAAAATTGAATGTTCCATCAGAATTCTTTCTAAATAATTTACCACTACCATGACCAAGCAGCTCATGAAGACCTACTTGCACCTCAAAGCTTGGAACTCTAAGCTGATTGAACAGAGTGTCATCTTCCTTTGACAGAAAAGGTACCTCATCTTGCAATGGTCTTGCTGAAATCACATTGCCAAGTGATACGTTCTTGAATCCTTCAGACTGCCTAATCTCGTCGTAATTAGGTATATTGATACCAGCCGGAATTCCAGATCCCGCAAACGTTAAGACATCTAGAGATGTAAAGTCAGGCCTCAAGAATTTGTCTTTTTCAAAATCTTTGCCCCAGGGAAGGATTGTCAACAATTTTTCGGCATTATCAACAAGAGTTGAAAATTTCTGGGACATTTCACGATTTACCATGGAAACAAATCCCTCAAACTCTCCTCTTTGACCTGCTGGATCTCTGTAAGTTTCGATAAAACCAATATAGGTTTCAACTGCAGGTCCCTTGTCTTTAATCCAATATCTAGATCCATTTTTGTGCTCATCTAAAGACCCCGTGACAAAGTGTTCAACGTATTTCTCGATCATTTTAACTTCTGTCTCATTGGCAGCATGCTCTTTTGCCTTTTTTAAATTCTCCACCACAGACAGCAAGAGCAAATCATAATCTCCTCTAGTAATTTTAAATTGAGCACCTTGAAAGATTTCTTCCGGTAGGGTGATTTTAGGATTGTCACTTGTTTCGGTAGAGGCTAATCTTATTTCATATTTACATTTGTAGTTGTCACCTTCAACGTTTGTTTTGAAGCACCTGGCATTGTAAGATTCTAAATGGTGTTTTTGCATAAACTCATTTACAAGCTTTGCATCTTCTTCTGTACAATTTGCAGAGAAGTAGGTAGTTATTCCTTTACTACCCAAGCCCAAGGATTTAACTTTACCTTCTAGATTATATAGCGCATCCTTAATTTTGTCCCAAAGAAATTTCAAGCTAGCTTCATCATCCTTGTAAGCTTTCGACCCTTTGATTAACTGTTCAAACTTTTCTTTGGGCAAATTTGGAATAATTTTACTGTCTCCAAAATCTTTGTAATTCCCAGAGTAGGAAAAAACTCCACACGAGTATACTAAGAAAGCCTGATGAATAAAAATTTTACATTAAAATTCAAGCCCATGTATGAAAACACGCTCATCTCAAAAAACTACTTACAACAAATTCATCTTCTGTGAAGCCAGCTGCTAGAGCAGTCTTCTTCAAATCTGCTATTGATTCAGAAAGGAATACTTTGTGCAGAAGGGCAAATATCAGTGGTGATTCGGGTGATGTTTGTAAACAAACTATGAGACCACCATTCCATGCAGCTTGACTTAGATAGTGGGCATATAACTTTTCCTTATTCGACAGAGCATTGAATGCTGCTTCGCACTCCAATCTGACCATGGGCTGGTTATTGGGTAAAGTATACATAGAGATATCGTCACTCATATTTGCAATGGTATGGTACTGCCTGAAACAAAAAAATTAAAAATAAGTACATAAAATACTTCAAAAGACAAGTTTCACGCTTATCCACCCTCACTAACTCATTTATTTTCCTATGAAATTATAGGTACAACTCATGCTTAATGCACTGATAAATCTAAACTTTCTATTCGTACAAGATTTAACACTTATTATTTTAATTTAAAGAGAGTGTGTATGTAAATACCTGAAACAAAGTACAGTGACAAATTTAAAATGACTAATAAAAATGCATTGACCTAACCTACTTATAAAAGCAGCATTCGAACAAAATTATTATTTCAAAACAACGTAAATCTAACCGTGTAGGTATAAGGATACATAAAAAAAAAAAAAAAAAAAAAAAAAAAAAAACCCCTGTGCAACGTAACAAAATTAATAGTACCTAATTAGCGAAGCTTTTCTGAAAAATTTAGTAACAGCAAGACGGCCGGAACACCCCGACTGACGTGTCAACTGTTTGCGACACGTCAACAATGAAAGCGATGACAAAAATAAATTTGACTTGCACAATTTAAACATTACTTTGTTTTTATTGAGAAAAACCAACTGTTTGTTTTAAGTATGTACTACTTAGCCCCAACAATGCAAATTGCAGGTTGCGACAAAAAGCAGGTTCGTGTAAAAAAAATCAAGGCGTAAACAAAAAATACTTACTTACTAACCAAGTAAGTAGATAAGTGACGAGTCTAAGACTTATTAAGAATAGGTAAGTAACGTAGCTGTATAAATACTAGAATTGAAGAATATAATAGAAATCACAATGAGCTATTGTTTGGAACACAAATTTTAATTAAATATATATACTTTAATAAGTGTAAATTAATAAAGTTTAAACGGAAGTAACTCGACAATATACTTTGAAGTTGTTAAAAAAGTCAAAAAGGCGTGGTCCATGTAACTTGGCATATTGCCTATCGAGTGGTTTTATACTCGTAAAGTTATCTGTATAAATAATACTATGGATTCGTTCATCCTTTTATTTTAAAACTGTTTTGTTTACTAATAAATGGAAAAATAAGAAGCAACATTAACAATTAGCATACCCAAGATTAGATAGGGTGTCATTCACCAGTACATTATTAGAAATTGCATATTTTTTACTTACGTTAACTAGAAGTAAGTACTCTGCAAACGTCGAACAGTATAAGATAACAATGATACTAGAAAAGAAAATGTACAACGTATAATTAGATTTCAGTAACACAAAAGCAGCAATAAAGGACTATCCTTTATGGACAGCTACGGAAGCCTGGTCACGACATCTACATAAAAACGCAGAAGCGCGCACAAAATCGAGTAGAAAAAGGGTATAAATCGTATGAAGAGTGTCCAAAAACACGTAAGTATATTGTAATCAAGTGCACAACAGCCCGCAAACATCAAGTTGCAAAGCAGACGGTTTCTATTTCATTTGCTTGAATAAACAGCTTATAATTGTTACATCATTACGTGGGAAAGAAATTTGTTAAAAAAAAAACAGTAAAACATATATATATGTAAACTTTATACTTGCATGTACTTTGCCGACTGTATTCCACACATGCTGCCAGTAGTTAAATTACGTACGTCGAAAGACATATTTTACGTAGGAGACATACTTTCAATTGTGTTTTTAATTAAAATTTTGCGAAATACCGACGTAATAAAAAGTTGACGTTGTCTGTGCTATTTGCGGCAATTTTACAATTTATCTCGTACCCAAAAAAAGCGATCTACTATATAACATTTATTCTTTAAGAGGTAAATTTTTGGGTAAAAGATAGATTGTAAACTTGCCGCAAACAGCACTCATCACGTTAACTTTTTATTTTCTATGTTTAAAATAAGTTGCGGCTGGTTTATAATTGACAAAATGGCTCTACTATAAGTTTTACTAATAATTATTTGGATCAGCGCCATCTAGCGTTAGGGATTTCTGAACTAAAAAGTGGCCCTAAACTTTTGGCCTACAGCATTATCGCTTAGAGCCATTTAGCCAACTATAAACCAGCCGCAACTCATTTTGCAGCTATAAAATGAAAAAATAACAGTACATGTGTTTTTGGCGGCAAGTTAACAATTTATTTTTTACCAAAAAATCGACCTTCTATGTATTTATACTTTTAAAGATAAGTTTTCGAGTAAAAGACAAATTGTTAACTTGCCGCCAAAAACACATGTACTGTTATTTTTTCATTTTCTAGCTACGAGATAAGTTGCGGCTGGTTTATAGTTGGCTAAATGGCTCTAAGCGCTAATGCTGCAAGTCAAAAGTTTAGGGCCACTTTTTTGGTTCAGAAATCTCCAACGCTAGATGGCGCTGATCCAAATAATTATTACTAATACTTATAGTAGAGCCATTTTGTCAATTATAAACCAGCCTTAACTGATTGCATAGTTATGAAATATAAAACAAACGTTGTTTGTGGTATTTGCGGCAAGTTTACAATATTTCTTTTTTCCACAAATTTACCTATATGTTAATACTTTTGGAAGTAGATTTTAGGTACTTTATACGTATACAATTAATTGCGGCTTGTTTATAATCGATTACATAGATCTACTGTCAATTGTAATAATTACAGTAGAGCCATGTAATCGTTAGATGACAATTGCATTGCACACACGTTTAATTGATTGACAAGAGACATCTTACGTTGTATTTAACCTGTTGTTATTATCTATAAGTTACGTGTTTGAATAAAGCAAATATAATATTAGTATGATGATGGTTTTGCGTAGCTCTGAGAAAAATAATGTTGATGGGTATCTCTGCATGCCATAGCAAACGTTTACTTCAAACTAAACATACTTATTTAAACACTACTGTTGTGATGATAATTTGGAAATGAAAAATATCACGAGGCACCACACGAATTAATATTCTTTTAAAGAATGCAATGAAATTATATTTATAAAATTCAAGATTGTTTTTTTTCCGAAAAGTTCACGATTTCAAGTAGTATATCTTAAGGAAGTTACCAAGTTTTAGTCGTATAAATGTGTGTCGAGGGAAATTACTTGTACTTAAGAAGCTATATATTTACTATAATTATTGAATTATCTTCCGACATTAGTAAGAATTACATATAAGACATGTACATGGGTACACTTGTTACCAAAAAAAAAAAAAAACTACAAGAAACTTAGACAAGCTTTGGATCACCATCCATCAATGAGTTTTCTTTGATTTTTTTCTAGAATATGAGAAATCGTGCGTGTTATCATCGGGTATATTTAACTTCAATGAGTTGAACTTTTTTCCTTGTATTAATTCATGCAAATATACTAACGATTACATGGCTCTACTGTAATTATTACAATTGACAGTAGATCTATGTAATCGATTATAAACAAGCCGCAACTAATTGTGTACGTATAAAATAAAATGTTAACATTGTCTGTGCTATTTGCGGCAAGTTTACAATTTATCTTTCACCTAAAATCTACTTCCAAAAGTATTAACATATAGGTAAATTTGTGGAAAAAAGAAATATTGTAAACTTGCCGCAAATACCACAAACAACGTTTGTTTTATATTTCATAACTATGCAATCAGTTAAGGCTGGTTTATAATTGACAAAATGGCTCTACTATAAGTATTAGTAATAATTATTTGGATCAGCGCCATCTAGCGTTGGAGATTTCTGAACCAAAAAAGTGGCCCTAAACTTTTGACTTGCAGCATTAGCGCTTAGAGCCATTTAGCCAACTATAAACCAGCCGCAACTTATCTCGTAGCTAGAAAATGAAAAAATAACAGTACATGTGTTTTTGGCGGCAAGTTAACAATTTGTCTTTTACTCGAAAACTTATCTTTAAAAGTATAAATACATAGAAGGTCGATTTTTTGGTAAAAAATAAATTGTTAACTTGCCGCCAAAAACACATGTACTGTTATTTTTTCATTTTATAGCTGCAAAATGAGTTGCGGCTGGTTTATAGTTGGCTAAATGGCTCTAAGCGATAATGCTGTAGGCCAAAAGTTTAGGGCCACTTTTTAGTTCAGAAATCCCTAACGCTAGATGGCGCTGATCCAAATAATTATTAGTAAAACTTATAGTAGAGCCATTTTGTCAATTATAAACCAGCCGCAACTTATTTTAAACATAGAAAATAAAAAGTTAACGTGATGAGTGCTGTTTGCGGCAAGTTTACAATCTATCTTTTACCCAAAAATTTACCTCTTAAAGAATAAATGTTATATAGTAGATCGCTTTTTTTGGGTACGAGATAAATTGTAAAATTGCCGCAAATAGCACAGACAACGTCAACTTTTTATTACGTCGGTATTTCGCAAAATTTTAATTAAAAACACAAGTGAAAGTATGTCTACTACGTAAAATATGTTTTTTCAATAGTGGTGCACCCGACTCTTTAGCGAAATTATTTAATTAAAAACTAAGTTCAGACAGTAAATCTTAAAATTAAGGAAATTTTGTGACAAAAATGAGTAATATGTAGAATAAACAATTTTTTTTCGTTTATTGATGCTCAGGCATATATTAACAATAGAAATTCTTATAATTACAAAATGTATTTATTAAGACGGGGTAACTGTATTTTTATTCGTAATTGCATTGTTTATTTAAAATTTATTATTTTTCACTTATTTCATACTTTTTTTGCCTTAATACATAAGTCTTGATTAAATCTAAGTTTTTTTTTTTTGTTAAACTTGACTAAATCGTTAGTTTTGCCAGTCTATTTTTTGCAACGCATGTACATCATTTAAAAATAAAGTTATAAACAATTGAAGGTCAGATGAAAGAAAATTTTTGAATTTTAAAGCGTCATTTGTGAAATATGTTACAAAATGTTATTATTTATAACTATCAGCTCCATTACTCTTTAAAATTAGTCTAGGGGTTATTTTTACAATAAAATTAAATGGAACAGTAAGGCGTAATTAACAGTACACTACTCCTACTCTTTAACATCACCTATTCCATCAGGATTAATGGCAAATGTCGCTTCACTTTCTGGAAGACAAGGAGAATCATAGATTTTACAAATTCTTGTTTCACCTCTCCCTTTGCGCAAGTATAGCCTGGTTGTACTGGCATGAGCTATTATGTTACCACCAATGGGCTTTTTTGTATCACTTCCAAACATAGAGGAAGCTCCATCAACTGTAGCTACAACTTGATTTGTTATGACAACGGCACATCCAAACTCGTCTGCCAATCTGAGTAGTAGTCTAAGAAATCTGGCTAAATGCATTTGTCTGGCTGCCAGTTCTCCCCTTCCAGCAAAGTCTGTTCTGTACAGTGCAGTGGCACTGTCTACGATGAGTAGTCCGTACCTCGATTCTGCCATCATAGCGCTTGCCTTGATCAAAAGTTGTGTTTGATGATCAGAATTGTAAGCCCTTGCAGTGGCAACATTGTCAAGAACGTTGTCACCACTAATGTTGTACCTTTCAGCAACAGCAATTAATCTTTCTGGCCTGAAAGTGCCTTCTGTGTCTATGTATATGCATTTAGCTTCAGCACCACCCATATCAACAGGTAATTGACAATTGACAGCCAGTGTGTGGCAGAGCTGAGATTTTCCAGTTCTGAATTCTCCAAAAATTTCAGTGATAGATCCAGTTTCTATTCCACCACCTAAAAGACGATCCAACTCGGCTGAACCAGTTGTAATGTAAACTATGTTGGCTCTGATCATGTGAACTTCAGCTGCTGTTTTGAAACCCATAGTAACTAGCTTAGAAGCCTCTAAAATAATTTTGTCTGCTTTGCCTTCGCTGATTCCTTTGATTGTCATCAGGACTTTTTTTGGTGTGTATGCCACAGATTCAACCGTGTAAAATCCAGCCTCTTCCAGCTTCTTGATATCACTAGCTGTGATGCCATTTCCCTGAAATCATCAAGCCTGTCATTTGGTGTCCATTTCATTATAACGTATTAAGGTGAAACATAGGCGTATAAACATATTCAAGGAGTATTTAAAAAAAAATTGAAAATAAGGCAATCCGTGAATAATGGTAGTTAAAAACTGCTACTACCAAAATAGATTAATTTACAGGTAGTTATTGTGAAGTGTTTGAAAAACAAATAAATAAAGGACTATTTCATTTTTATTTACATGCAATGTATTGAAAGAAATTTTGAGCGTACATAACGCTGCGTATGATTCGCAAATTGTGTAACTTTTTTCATTCATCAATAATCAATTGTTATGTGCACACGATATCTACAGACAAGAAATATGTAACTATTAGAAGAGTTAATGAATCAGAACTGCCATTAATGTAGAGAAGTATGAGTGCACGACACGCAAGTGCAGTTTATTTACCTCCAAACTTTTGATAGCTTTCACCTGTCCTCCACAATCTCCTAGATCCTCTTCCTCGACAATGGTACTCGCTACGTCTGCCGTTGACATTTGTATTGTGTTTTACCTTTTCGCGAGATCAGCTGAAAAAATATCTGTACACAATGCACGTGTTTGAGCGACGACGACTCTCTATAGAAAAAATAGATGGGTTGACCTCGCAATTGTGACTTGTCCAAACAGGCTTTCAAATTTGCATTAAACGGTCAGCACACACATGACACATGCGTCCGAGAGAGAGAGAGAGAAAGAAAATAATGGAGGGCCAAGTGAAAGATGTGCTCGTGCGCAGTGCGGCTCGATCAGCCAATCAGAGTTGAAACAAGCAATCTACCGTGTTGAATTTCAGCGAATGAGCGCTTGGAGATAAGTATACGTTTTTTTCAACATGTCCAACTGTACACGCATGGTAATGATATCCGCATAGGTAAATAAACATCTTGATGTGCAAGTAACTTTTGGACTTTAAATTTCATTGATAAGTATCATATATTGCTTATACAGGATGTCGAGCGCCACTTCCACAGTTACAGTAAGTGTGTAATTGAGTTTCTGAGGTATCAGTAATTAATTGTATTACATTACAGCTATGCATTTTTAGTATCTTTTTTCAAAATATTGATATTAAATATTGTTACGTGTGTAGGAACGTAAAGTTCTGGTGGATGGAGTAGATATAAACTATGCTAAGACTGGGACTGGAGAACATCTTGTGCTCTTACTGCCTGGAGCAGTAGGTATAAGTTTTATAAATTATTTAAGTCAAACTTAGTTAACAAATTGGCTGTAAGTACATAGAAGGAGTTTTTAGTAATTCAAAGGACAAATTATTTGAAATAACATTTTTTTTAAGGAACCATTTGGACTGACTTCAAGCCACAAATTGAAAAGCTTAGTAAAGAAAAATTTACTATTATTGCTTGGGACCCTCCTGGATATGGGAAATCCAGACCACCAAATAGAACTTTTCCTGAAGATTTTTTTAGGAAAGATGCAGCTTTGGCTTGCAACTTGATGAAAACTCTCGGCTATGAAAAGTTTTCCTTGGTTGGCTATAGCGATGGTGGAATCACTGCACTCATTATGGCAGCCCAATATCCTGAAAATGTCCAAAAAATAGTTGTTTTTGGAGCGAATACATACATAGCGCCATTGGAAGCCGAAATTTATAAAAGTAATATTAAACTTACTTAAATATTTAACGATTAACTGTAATTGCGAAAAAAATTAACTTATTTATTCCTTCCAGAATTAAGAGACATAAGTTCGTGGTCAGAGGGAATGCGGGCTCTCATGATTGAAATTTATGGAGAAGAATATTTTACAAAAACTTGGAGTGATTGGGTTGATGGAATGTTACGTATTTATGAAAAGAACAACGGAGATATTTGCAAGGCTGATTTAACGGAAATCAAATGTCCAACTTTAATTATTCACGGACGAAAAGATGAGGAAGTTTTGATGGAACATGCAGATTACATGAAATCCAAAATAAAAAATTCGAGGTATATTTATTCATATATTTATTATCGTAAATAAACATACATATAAATTCTTGTTTATGTAGGTTGGAAATTTTTGAGGCTGGAGAACACGATTTGCATTTAAAACACCCAGACGAAACTAATGCATTACTGGAAAAATTCTTAACAGAAGACGTTTAAGTAAAGACTATTATTTTATGGAATAACTGCACAATATAAAAAACTAACATATATTTGTACAAGCATATGTTTAACTACTTACATGCTATTTTTTAGACGTACAATTTGTTACTTTTAAGAACATTTATAAATAAACATTTCTTGAAAATTAATTTTACTTGAGTTAGCTCAAATGTGACCTTATTCGATGTCAGACACGTAGCTTACTCGATTTTTAAAAATTCATTAGTTTTTTACATGCATTGATATTTGCTTTTAATTAATAGCAATGTTTTTACAAACTTTTCATGAATATTTTTGGGTAGTATTTTACAATTATATCAATAACATCGATCAGAGGCATTAAATATGTATAAATAATGTGCAATAGATCTCTTTTATTTATTTTATTTACATCAACTTTTTATTTCTCATTTCAATTTAAATAACCGCCATTGAAGCAAATTTGAATCTCCAGTAGATTAGATAAAAGTTCATCTGTAAGAGATTGATTCCCTTTGCATGCTTATCTCTCTAAAACTGATAGGAACGTTCGTAAATATGTTGTCCACAGCAAAACATGTTTTGGAGTCATTTTTCAAATACAATAGAAAACCAAATCTCGTGAAAATTGCCAGAAGTTCGTCAACAGGTGCTTCTGCTATTGTGGTGAGTATATATATAATGTAAATTACAGAAGCACAGATAACTGACTTGATTTTAAATTATTTCATTTTTATCAATAAGTATTTGATATGTAAAAAAAAAAATGCACACGTCAGCTAATGCTTGCCAATTGTAGGAACGCAAAGCACTGGTAGATGGAGTTAACATCAACTACGTGAAGACCGGAGTTGGAGAGCATCCTGTTCTTTTATTGCCTGGAGCTGTAGGTACTTAATTGCTAAAAAATATGCCAAATGTATCTTTTATTGAATAAGTAGCACCAGGAACTTTACAAAATTCAAGTGACCAATGATGTTTAATTATTTAATTATTTTGAGGATCCATTTGGACTGATTTTAAGCCGCAAATTGAAAAGCTTGACAAGGAAAAGTTGACTGTTGTTGCATGGGATCCTCCTGGATATGGAAAGTCCAGACCACCAAATAGAACTTTTCCTGAAGACTTTTTTAGGAAAGATGCAGCTTTGGCTTGCAACTTGATGAAAACTCTCGGCTATGAAAAGTTTTCCTTGGTTGGCTGGAGTGATGGTGGAATCACTGCACTCATTATAGCAGCCCAATATCCAGAAAATGTCCAAAAAATAGTTGTTTTTGGAGCGAATTCATACATGGCGCCATCGGAGATCGAAACTTACGAAAGTAATAAAAAACGTGTAAATCAAAGATCTTATAGTTATTAGTGATAGCTGGAAAAACACTATTGTAAATTTTATTCTAGAAATAAGAGACATAAATACATGGTCAGAGAGAATGCGTGCTCCCATGATTGAAGTTTATGGGGAAGAATATTTTAGAAAAACTTGGAGTGACTGGATCGACGGTATGAAGCTTATTTATCAAAAGAACAACGGAGATATCTGCAAGGCTGATTTAACTAAAATCAAATGCCCAACTTTGATAATACACGGTCAAAAAGACGTAATGGTGTTGCCTGAGCATCCAGACTACTTGAAATCTAAAATCGAGAATTCCAGGTAACTCAATCATTTATTTTTTATGCAAATATTGTAAAAAATCATTTCTTAATGTAATCATTTCGTATTTTATTCAATCAGGGTGGAAATATTTAAGTCCGGAGCGCATAATTTACATTTGCGATATGCAGGAGAGTTTAATGCATTGGTAGAAAAATTCCTCACTGAATAGACGCCTGTAAGGTGCCGAACGAAGACTGTTGTTTTATTTGCATGGTGGAAATTATCATGAGTTTTTTTTGGGGGGGGAGGGGGGGGTACCGAAAATTAAAATATCAATCTGACATTTTCTTTCTTTTCCTTTTTAATTTTCTTTTTAGGAATGAAAAAAGTTATTTAATAGTGAAATTTAATTTTACGTTTTATTTTTACACTGAAAAAAAAACAGTCATGATATTTTCCATCATTCCTTTGATATGTAAACGAGCTTTAAAAAAATTGTTTTAATATTATTTGAATAAATTTATGAAAAATAACCAAGCATGAAGTATTTTCATACCAAATAAGTAAGCCTACTGAACCTGAAATAACAAAAGACGTGAATAATGTAGGTCAGTTTTTACAAGAGCTGCCTCGACTTTTCATTAAATTCAGGTTTGCACGTATGGGCGTTCCCATGCCTGATGGTTCTCGTGTCACACGCTCTCTCGGTCGTTTTAAAAACCATTGCGTGAATCCAATCCGACAAGCTAACGTATTGTTAACAATCTCCAGATTTTCCAACTTTCACACTGTGCGCGAATGTATTCGTTTGTATATCTATTTTTCTGAAAAAAAAAAAAATCCATTTTTTTGCATCCTAATTACTTCAAGCCATTATCTAAAATGAGATTGTCAATCAAACAGTTACTCAGAACTTAATAAGTAGTTGACGGATACACAGTCATACGGCCTTACAACGAAGCACGCATATATATATTCATGAACTGGGTCGGTGGCAATCGTAGGAAATAACAATGATGTCACAATGTAATGTCAGCACGAGTGTTTTATAATGCGCCTTGCTTTTTGTTTCACGTCCATATTGATCCGTTGCCAATATTCTTCATTTTCATTTCAAATTTACTGGTTGTTACTGTAAAGTATAAAACTCGAGCGTGAATTTTGTCGCAACCTACAATTTTTATAACAAATTTGAAAAAGAAAAAAAAAAAAATGTCATGAAAAGCTTTTTTTTAGTTATCAGTAAACACTTTCGATATGACAAATACATGAAAAAAGGCACATGGCAACAAAATCGCTATCTGTTGTATACATAACTTTCGAAAAATACACGTACATATTTCAAGGCAGACTTGATAAAAATCTTTTTCTTTTCTTTTTTTTTTTTTTTTTTTTTTCAGTAAAAGCATTAATCACGTTTCTCGTAAAACCCGCAAAAAAAAAAAGAGTATCGAGCAAACATTTATCGAGAAATATACGTTGTCGCAACACGAAAGCCGTGTACATACAAGCCACCCGTAAAATTGCCAAGTCCCTCGAACAAACGTGCCCTTTTAAAATTAATCGTCAATCGTTGAACTTTCGTAGCCACACAAAAAGGCACGTCCCCTTAAATTAAAAACAAACTCACTTGACGAGCCATTATTACTACGCCCATCGTCGTCATCGCATCAGCTGCCCAGCCCAATGAAACAACAACAACAACAACAACAACAATGACCCAGAGCAAAAGCACCGAGTTTCACCGAGTGGCAAGCCTCGCGAGAGGGATACACTTCGCCTCATTACGGCGCGAAGCAGATTCGTCCGACGGTTTTTCAAGAGCCGCTGCCGCCGTCTCGATGTATAAGTAAGCGTATTCAAGGCACGTGGGCGTCCAACTCGTATACACGGGGTCCAAAATGAAATCCGACTGTGGGCGTGTATGAAAAGAAAAAAAAAAATAAAAATAAAGGAAAAGGTGACATCGGTGAGCTGAAAAAAAAAATGGTCCCACATACCCACGCACTCGTTCCTCAACCGGATGCGTTAAATCAGAGCTCGCGAACAAAGAAATAAGGGCGATTTCGCGGCTATAGAAAAACTTGAGTACTCATACTTACGTGTTCTTTTAATTTTCTCGCGCGTGACAACGTTTGTTTGTATCCTTTATTATTATTTTTCAGTGGCATGATTAGTTTAAATGGTCGGTGCTGTATACGATTGATGGAGACTCAACGTGGTTGACCACGATCGGGCCCTTTTTTTCCCTCTTCATCGTGTACACATCCCTCCGGGGAGTAAAAATAGAAATGAAGAGCTCATCAGGTGCCGCGTGAGCGCGTCCTCTGGCATGTAATTTAGAGCACCGACGCGAGAAGGTATAGGCACTTATCTGCTATATGGAAATGATTCTGGGTAATTAGCCAAGGAGCCGTGACGAATAAGGATCGAGTGAGCGAGTTGGTTGTATGTACTTACGAAGTGCCTCTCTCTCTCTCTCTCCCTCTTGGGGTTGCGCAATCGGTGAATTTTAAACAGAGCGTTTTTCACGCGATCGGTAGACCATTGGGTGATGTACCTCTCCGATGTGGAAGAGCAATAATTAAAATTTTCATAGGTGAGCATAGAAAAGAAGCCGATCGACAGTGTTGACAGTAAATGGGTGCCGCATAAGAGAAAATTATGTATTTATCGTTCGAAAGGTATATAAAAGCGTCTTGGACTTTGAGAGAAGAAAAATCCTCGTTGTATAATTGTCTACGATTAGCCATCGTAAGTATAGAGTCCCGTGAGTCGCCTTAAGTGGAGGCGGTGGCATCGCGGACGGTAATTTTTATCATGTTCTATTGAAAGGGGAAAAAAAAAATAATCAACTTAACGAACGCACGACCAATTAGAGCCGATGGGGAGAGGGAGAGCCATAAAATAGTTGGCGATCGCCTCGAAGATCGATACCCAAATGATGGTTGGACATTGGCGAGCGTGACGGGCAAGCAAATAACGTCACATTTACACAAACATGGTCGAAACGGGAGACACGAGCGATCGAGAGAAGAAAAAAAAAACGGAGCCATGGCGTAAGTACATTACAATGCGATGCTTCTTTCACTGAGAAAAGGACTCGATCGGTATATGGGTATACCGATTTTTCAAATTTTCTCCTTCCCCCGGTGCGCAAAACAAAAAAACTGCAGTACCCCTGTATACACGTACTTTTTTGACCGATTCGGTTTGGTCACTCGTCCACTTGCATAACACCCAATCAAGTATATACAGAATCCCTCGTTCGTTCTCATGGACTTTCGACGCGTTTTCTCCGCGAGATCTCCTTCTGCATGCGATACACGCGTCTTACGAGAGCACAAGCAGGAGAGAGAGAGATGAGTCACGGACAGAGAGAGAGAGAGAGAGAGAGAGATAGATATGTACGATCCAGAAGTGTGTTGGTGCACATTCCCGTCCGCCCTCTCTCGTGTACCTCCTATATGTGATATTTTTTTCTTTTTTTTTTTTTTCCTTCTCTCCACTCCACGTCGAGAGAGGAGGACGATCGCCATTTACGGAAGCTTGACGCCAATGATTCGGGCACAGCTCCTTTTCCGAATACTCAAACAGTGCTGCGCTTGCCGATCGGCGCCGTGAAAGCGGCTCTCGGCGCTCAACTCTTTGGATTTTATTCCTATCAGAATCCGCGCTGGCCTCGATATGCTTATACCACTGGCTCTTTTTTTTCTCTGCTGCTGCATACAGGTATCAAATATAGGCACGATTTGGCGTCTTGTACATATGCATCCGTTACAAAGGACCGCGCCCTGAAAGGAGCTTTTTTTTGAAAGATAGAGTACTTGAGAAGAAAATCTTTGATTGTTTATTAGACAGATGACTCACTTATTTTCATGCTAGAGTAAATCTTTGGGAGGGGGGGGGGTGAGATTGTCCTATCTCGTATCGATGCGATACATTTTCGAATATGTTTTGCGCGAACGGGACGACGCGTGTGTACATGTATACTTGTTTACGCATGCGGTGATTTAAACTCTCACTCGTATACGTATACACATGTAGATAATATGTACGCACGCGTAAATTAACCGTTTGCCTTATATGGCCGTGGCAAGAGGAGAAAACCGTAAGGATATTCTCGAGAGATGCAGCGATGCTCCATATCGGTGAATATTTATGGAACCGATGGTAAAATTAACGACGCGTCTCTCTCTCTCTCTCGAGAGAGAGAGAGCATACCCCTTGTACCGTGCGATTTCCATCCTGCATAGATGTTTTTCGCCGATTTCGCTTACACCTATACGCATCGTGTCAGTGTTTTTTTTTCGTCAACAATATTACCGATCGTTTAAAAATACACGTTACTCCGGCCAAAGTGTATAAAAGCTCCTTTCCTTACTCGACCGAGCGATATTTTTCCAACTTGACATTGTTTCGTCGGGCGTCCTTAACATTGTTGGAACACCGCGCGGAGGAGCTACATTAGCATATACCTTTTTTTTCCATCTCACATACATATAACTCAAGAGCTCGCAGTTTGCTCGATAAACCGCGATGCAGTTATACAGATGTGATGGATTTTCCCTCATTTCTCCTTTTTTTCTCATCCTCGTTTGGATTGTCACATTAGAGTAAGCAATGATTTTTTTTTTGTACATATAGTATATGTACGTATAGGTCGATAGAGTACAATGCCCATGTTTTTATCTTTGAATAGTCTCTTTTATTCACGCCAACGCCAAAATTAAAGTCAGAGCGGCAGCGTAGAAGCAGGTATTAATATTTAGCGCGTCTGATTTTTTTTATCCAAGACTCCTTGCTCGCGACTTGTTCTTTATTTCATCGCGTATACTAATCCCAGAGTTTATTGTTACTGGCCCAAAGTATATTTTACAATTTAGTTGAAAAACGGCCCAGAAAATTTCAAGTGCAAAAGACAATCGTAAAAAACTTAACCAAATCTGTTTACCCTTACCCAAAAGCCCGCGAGTGTGCATACCCCCACGCACGAGTACGCGACGAAAGAATAATTGAACACATATATGTACCGAAAGATCGATAAATCGAGCGACAAGGCATGGTTATTCGTAACAATAGTTTCGCGCGTACAATAATAATAATATTAAAATGCAAAAACTCAATTAATAACGTTCCAAATCTATTATAAAATTATTATTAATAATAATAATAACAATCAGTACGGCAACAACGTTTCCTCGAGTGCGCAAGGTAACATGCATAATTCAATCGGGACGCGCTTGAAAGCGCGAGAGGCTTGTATGTATT